GTTACAGTCATGATTGTATCAATGAAGTTATAAACCTTTGTACATTTTGATTAGTAAATATTTAGAAAAAAAAGGAAGGAAACTAGATATTACTCGAGTTTTTAAATCTGAATTATCTGAACTAGTAATTATGAACTCAATAAATTTCGAATCTTATGCATTTATGGGATCCATTCCTAAGTGCACGGTTTTCACTCTTGATTTTGGGGTGTGGCACTTTTACTAAAATTCCCCGTAAAAATCTCCATACCCGTTATTGACAGGAATGGGAATAGGGGGTCCCCGCTGCCATGGGTTGCCATCCCTAAGCTGACCAGACCCATGTCTGCGCTGAAACAGTCAGAAAAAGTCTACATGTGTTATGGCTGCCCATTTATTTCCTTAACCAACTCAAAGTTGCTAGCCAGCGTGATTTAATCTCCTTGATTTTTTCCTGGAAATTCCACTTTGAATAAAAGAATAAAAAATTTCTTTAACTTGTATTTAAAGAGTATAAATTAAAAATATAATAAATATATTTTTTATAATTAATTTATATAAAAATTTATAAAAATTGACATTTATTTTAATATTATTAATACATAAATAATTTTAATTAATTAATTAATTTAAAATCAATATTTACATTTTTTTTATAAAAATTAATTTTAAAAAATATATTAATTGCACCATTTTACCTTAAAAAAAACTGAAGAATAAATTGAATGAGTCAATTGTCCCCTCTTTCGCTACCTGGCGCTAGTCCATGGTAAAAACACATAGTCTGGCCCGCACGGTACTATTCCAAGACTAGCAGCCTTGAGATAATACGCGACAAATTTCAAGTTACTGACTCTTTTAGATACGTAATACTCGTCTCGGTTGGGTGTTATTTATGTTGTAAACAAGCATTCTTAAATTATTATGCTAGAAAGGCTGATGGCCCTCAAGCCGGCTCAAAACCGAGCAAACGTGGCAAGGCCACATCTGTGGGGTTCGTTTATTTTTTTTGTATATTAAATGATAAATTATATAATAAAAAATAATTTTTTTCTCAAATCTCTCCCCACAAATTTTAAGATTTAAAATAAAAGTTTCTAATATGAAAACTGAAGTTTTTAACTATTAGAATGTCCTTACAAGACATTTCTTCTATATTTTTATTTTTTATAAAGGCAATAAACAATGGCCAGACACTCATTTATAATATTTTAACTTTTAAACCAATAAGTGTCATTATCCTAAAATAAAGCATTAATATTTCATTTAGTACATCAATAATATA